AAGATCAGTGAGTGAACTCTTTTGTTTCATTCATTCAATGGCAGTCGTTTGGCTTAGCAGGAACTATGGACAGTGGTCAGGTGATGAGGGATTTTTTTTATGACTCGGAATATTTTTTTTTTTTATTAAGTGCGTTTGACATTGATACAGATACAGTGTTGGATGATATCTTCGAAATGCATTTAAAGTAATAATGCGGATTTTTATTTAAATTTGGATTGGATGATATAATGAAAATCTTGGGTTTAAAAAGTGCGGTCATCATGGTCATTGGCGAACAAACCTCGTTAAATGAAGAGATTCGCAGACTGGTTCTTTATCAGAAATGGATTTTAATTGGCTTATTCCCAGTGATGTATCGAAACCGCTTTGCAAAAAAAAAAAAAAAAAAAACTGAATGGAAAGTGTTACTTTTGAGGAAGTTTAAGACTCCAGTTTCTTCTTGGATTTGCTATTTTTAACAACTTAATTTCCTCGCGTTCGCTTACCCTGAACTTTTTCTCCCTAACTTTTTTTTTGGTTTCTGGACAAATTAAACCTTGATTTCACTCTTGTTGTTGTTTTCTAACTACTGTCCGATTTTGTTATCACTGCCGTCCGATAATATATTATTGGACTGCTAATCATTATTATCGGACGACTACAGGTAAATGTTTAGACTGCAAGAACAAAGGCATGACGTCACAGCAATGTTTTAAGTATTGTTATCATCCTAGAGAATCAAATTTTATTAAAACACATTCAAATTTTGCAAAAACCACTTATGTTCTAACCACAGCTTTGATACCCAAAATTGAAGAAAATGTTAACCTAGCTACAATTTTACGTTCACTAAAGATCTTTTTATGGCGATCCCGCATATTTATAAATTAATATTCAATACTTTTAGGGGCTTGCAATTTTCGTAGGACACAGTTCATACAACATTTTTACCTTAATGGTAGTATGTCTTTTAGACAAAGTCTTCTTCTTATTTTTTTAATATGGCTTATGTTTTTTCGTCATTGAAATAAAAAAGTTTTTACACCTCAACATGTTTTCTGCCATACTTTTTTTTGGAAACGAACAGATATGTTATGTTGGATTAGATAAAATATACAGTGAAGTTTTAATATGAATATACATTACATGAATATTTCTAAGTTATTTCGTTTATGAGGTTTCATTGTCATCTAATGTGGGACAACATTTTTTTTAGCCTTGCACGTGAGGAAGGCATCACAAATTGTCTTACTGGACTTGACATGATCTCGAATACTTTTGACTGAATTTTTCTGAAGGATAAGAGTTCTGTTTAATTATTATACCCGCTTTAATATGAGAGGATTATGGATTTCCTATCAACCTTTGATCCTACATTTCTGCATTTTTTTTTGTTTTGTTTTGTGTTCTGGCTGCTTAGTTCTAGTTATTTTATCTATGCCAAGATCATATATATATAATGAAACACTATTAGCAAACTTTGCAGTAGCATATTTGACGTACATTGAATTTGAAAGACCAATTGCTGTTGAAATTTTTACTGAATTGTATTCAAACTAAAACATCATAAGTCATCATAAATGACTTAATATTTTGTATTTTGTCATTGCGTGGTTACATGTAGCGTGTCATAGCTATACGTATGAATCGAATTTATACTAGTTTTTGGTTTTATCCCAAATGTTAATGTCAGTCCAACAGTTACTTCTTTTTTACTTTAACACAGAGAAGTTTGATTTCTTCATTCAAATTAATTACGTACATGTTTAAAACATATTTCATGTTTTAAAAGTACGTTCTAAGACTTGTAGATACAGGTTTTTTGATCTTCTACATGTAAGTCGCAAATAAAAATATGACCATTACTTTAAGTCTCATCTCAATTGCAGAGTTCATTTTACCCTTGAGATCTAATTTAATCTAAAGTCACAAAATGGTTCTACACCCACAAATGCAGCTATTCATAGGAAAGGCCAAGCTTAAGTCTCTAGGTCTTGTCTGAATTCAAATTTACAAAATCATCATAAATCGCTGCAATTATCAATCTATCAATCAGTAATAAATATACACACCTCAATATTAACATTATAAGACTGGTGTTTGTTTTACATTTTGCCCCGCACCAGCCTTATCAAAGGTCAATCAATAATGAATAATAATTATTCATCAAACAATCAATATTCAATCAATCAGTCAATTTTCAATTCAATCAATCAATCAATCATTATGTAATTCGGTGAATCATTTGTTCAATTTAATTAATCAATATTGAATTCGATCAATCAATATATTTGATTAATCAATCAATCAATATTCTATTCAATCAATCAATACTCAATTAAATGAATTTTACTAAGTTTATGTTTAAGCCAACAATATTTCAATGACTAATCAATGTTTGCTGATTATCAAGTCAATTGTTATCCACTGACGAGTTATCCATATAATCATTTTGCAGCTGTAGCCCTGCTCACAACGGCGCGAGTCGAGGTAAATTGTGTTAAGCTAAATCCGCCAAACGTGTATAGTTATTCATGAAATGTGCACGCCGCCACAAACGTGGGTGTTGATGACTTTGTTTCTTTACATTATGAATTTCAAAGATGAATTCCTAAATATTGATTGCACTTTGTAAACTTGTTATCATTCTGAATGTATAACAGCAATAAAGCATGGTGTTGTAAATCATTTTCCATGGAAGTTCATTTATACAAGGCACGATTATGAACATAGTGGCAGCGGTTATGCAGAAGTAATATCAGTAATCGATTTACAATAAAAATAACAGTGGAAAGTAGACTTTTTTGAAGTCCTCCTTACATGTACCACGTTCGCTTGCAAACACGAAATTCCGCGATGCCGAGTGAAGACGAAGCGCCAACCCCAGTAATTCAGCACCTACAGTACCCGCATCGTTATTCTTTACAGGATACACGATACGATAGGATACACGCACGATACGATAGGATAAACGCACGATACGATAGGATACACGCACGATAGGACAGGATACACGCACGATAGGATAAACGCAAAACACGATAAACGCAAAACACGATAAACGCAAAAAACGATAAACGCAAAACACGATAGACCTGATAAACGATCTTCACGATAGGATAAACGCAAAACCTGATAGGATTGTTTCAAAATGCGAAACGTTTTTTTGACAAGACGAAAAGTTTCCTTTTTAGTAGTATAATAATTTTAATTACTTACAAAGCTAAATGATAAAATATGTTAATTTTATCGTGATAAAACATCTGAAGCAATGATGCTTTGTAAAAGATACATTTTTTCCGTCACTGGATGAAAAATACCGTTTCCGCAAAACTGAAACTATATAGAAACATTGCGGAAACCTGAAGTTGAAGTTTCCTTTCTAGTTTCCGCAATGCGTACACTATAATATAGTTTCCGCAAGTTTCTGTAGAGTTTAAGTTTGCTGAAACTATTAGTTTTGATTCCATATGGTTTCCGCACTGCAGAAACTATCAAGAATCTTTACCCTGCATCATTATGAGAATACTTGCAAGTTTCAACAGGTTTCAGCTTGCGGAAACTAATGATGATGTTTCTTAATGGTTTCCGCCATGCGGAAACCAACCTGGAATGTTTTATTTCATCAATTAAAAAAACTTTTCTTCCATTTAATTAATATAAGAAAATCAAATTTGGTTTAAGGCTAGTTTCCGCATTGTGGAAACTTATTCTGTTATTCATTTAAAGCTCAAGAGAACTTAGTACCAGTTGGCAAACAAAACCTGGATAAACAATGCGTGCATATTTTTTTTCTTTTTCATGCCAATTTCAGACTTATTTTCAGTATAGTTTTAATGCTAAACTATTGAGAGGTTTTTTTATGTTTTTGTTCAAGAGTGTTTAGAGTTGATTATAATTTTTACCAACAATATGAAACAAATTTAATAATTAACTTTATATAGCTCTAGAGAATAATACATGGCAAAATCTGTATCACACCCCATTTCAACCCGAGACTCCAATATCAACCCAAAAACCGAGGAATACAATATGTGAAAAATACATAGGTGTTCGGGAAAGTTGTAATAAAGGAAGTGATAAGGGGGAAATAAAGGGTGCTGATACAGGGTGTGTAATTTATCTTTACATCCGTAGACTTCCAGATGGAGAGAAAGAAGTGGGATGGTAAGCCAATATGTATAAGCTTAATTATGCTTGGAGTATATTTTCATAAAAACAATTCACTATACCTTGAACTTTCATCCAGTTTTAAGAAAAAATAAAGTACACATAAATATTAAAGGATGTTTGCCAGTATCAGCCATTTAATTCACCATATATCAGTCTATCATATAGCAATATTGAGATACTGTTGCCCGGCTCTTGCCACGTGGAGGCCTCCTTTCCAAGAACCTTTTTTTTCTTTTTTTTTTTTTTGAGATGCTAATAGAATATGATAAATAATATAATAAATTCATAGAGCTGGCAAATCTTTGATTAAAGTAATTCCATCTTTCGAATGATATACTTTCATTGTTTTTCTTCATTAAAGAGCTGTCAAAGGGAAATAAATTGGATTTTATTTTGTATGACAAACTATCACATTCACCCAAATTTACCTAGAGTTTAATATTCAACATAAAATATATGTAATATCTAAATTTCAACAATAATAATTAATTGTACCTAAATTAAGAATTTTGAACATTTAACATATTTCAAAATATGAATACACATGTAATTTTTTTTTTTTTAAATAAACGTGAGCAGAGACATACACATGTAATTCTGTAATTGACCACAATAATAAAGCAAATTTAATGTTAAATTTCTAGCACTATGTACACAACAAATCAAAACTATTTACATACATGTTCTTAAAGATCTTACATTCCTCACCACTCTAAAACCTGTAGTTCAATCAAAACCTCCATTTCAAATGACAAGAAAAATTCTTGAAATACAGGAAATAGTGCAACAACAGGGTTGCAGGGAGACCGAATGAAGATAGTGGATACAAATTCAAAATGCTATTTAATAACCAAATATCCCTTAGTCAATAATACTTTTCAGAAACATACCTTGATTCCTCACAGCATGTAACTTTACTCATGTTCATGAAGAAATTTAAATACAACACCCTATATTATGAAATTAATCCATGTATCAGAATATTTTTCACTTTGTGGTTCTTAGGAAAACACACGCCTAGGAAGAGGTGACACCACCATGAAATGTTGATGGCCATGTTTCTTGATAGTCCAGGCACACTTTCCAAGTATCCTTTGAATAGGAATGTAGGAAGCAGGACCATCATTCTGCACTCTTTTCTGCCAAACAGTGACTGGATGAAGGTATCCCAAGTTCACGTCTGTCTTCTTGAACCACTCTACAACAGCCAAAACATGAACTTTAATACAATCATCTTTTTCAACTGAATGCATGAGATAATGTAGCACTCTTCCTGGTCTAATGTCACCGAAATGAGGGTCAACATTAGAATCATCCCCTGCCCATTTAGCCAACATAATTTTGTAGTTCTTGCATCTGGAACTAGAAACAGAGCCATACATTTCATTAGTCCAGTAAACTGTGCTGTATTTTTTGGCTACCCTTGCAATGTCATCATCTGAAAATGAAGTATCATATAAACATTCATACATTTTCCTCAGGTCATCACGTTCTTTCTGGCCCAGCGTCAACAAAGTAAAAGCCTTTTGTTTAACCTGCAAAAGGCACAAATCTGTCCAAACTTGAGGGTCTTGCCTATGGATTGGTTCCTCTGCAGCAACTTGCAGTTTAGATGTTGGAACTTTTGGGCAGTCTCCACGATCCTCTCGGCAGAACTCTGAAAAAAATTCTGAAAACTCTCCGCATTCTCTGTGCTTCATTTCAGCTGCAAAACCAACCTGCTGGAATTTCCGCATAATCTGGATTTCCACAGAACGTTTGTTTGTGGGAAAATCTGCAAGAAAACCATTATATCTTTCAAAACTAAAAGCCCAAAATCCGTAAATACTGCCATAACGCTCAACTGTTTCTTTCAAATGTCCATGGAGGTGCATATTTGGAGTCAAAAATGCTGGTCCATACAGGTCCTCTGCCATTTTGCTAACCTGTAAGAAAAGTCTGTCGGCAATGATTAATCTTGTTTTCCTCAGTGTGGGCTGGCACAGTTCCCTACAAGCTAAAACAAATTTCTGCCACATCTGCATATGCCTCTCTGGAAGCAATCCCTGCAATGAATATAAAGAAAAAAGCAGCACCCAGTTTTTCCACTCATCAGCTGTAAATTGAGAAAAATTGGTGGCAATATTGGTAGGGAGCCTACCAATATCTGCTGGCACATTAAACTCAGCTACCCTCCGACTAACTTCTTCAAAATCAGTTTTTGTCAGCAGCTCGCTATCCACCCAGTGGACAGAAATTTTTTTGGCTGTACCTAGAAAAAGGTTATGCATTGGCTCTACAACAGAAAATCTAGAGGGCTCAAAATAATCTAACTCTAACAAGTCTGTGTTTTTGTAGCCAAATTGTTTCTGGATCTCCTTCTGTCTTGTCAGGTTATCTGCATTTTTAGCCATCCCTGCATGTCTGATGTGCTCCTCTCTAGTCCTCTGCCTCCAAGTGGTAGGGTCTACAGGTCCACAATACCTATTACCCAAGTTATCCTGAAAAGAAATGTCACAGAAAGAACACCCTTTTATTGCTGCATGCCCCATAAAACCAGCAAGCTTTCGAGCAGCAGGAATATCTGAAGATGCACAAAGCAATAAAACTTTTACTTGCACTGGGTCTTTGTTGGCTGGGCTAATCTCGAATCCCCTGGAAAGCAATTTCAATTCTTTAATAATTGGCTGTAAAAAAGAATTAAGTGAATCTGGCTCCTTCATAAGGGCAGGAATAATGCCGACCAACATGACATTCTCCATCCTGAAACGTAAATGCCTTGGTAAATTCATGAATACAAAATAAATAACACCAATGGATATGTCCAGTCTTCTTGCAAAGGGCTGAAACCAATCAACATTAATCATTAGTGCATAGTTGTTCGGCTGACTCAGGAATGGTTCATTATTGTAAGTCTGGAACTCTTTCCAAATATCTCCATCATAGAGGTCCCCAACATGGTTCTGAATTACATCCCTTGACCTCCATTTGTTACATTCTGTCTCAAAGTCTGGCCTGGAAAGAAATTGTTCAAGATTATCAATAACATTTTTGTAACAATAAGTTTTCAGTGGATAAAATGTTGTTTTATTGTTTGACAGATGAACTTCCTGGACAAGGCTGGCATCACAGCGAAATTTCCCTCGGCGTCCATGATTGGTGCTGCTTTTGTCCACCCTACAACCAAACATTATATTAGAACACTTATGTACAACAGTTCGGCCATTACAGGTCTGCACCACATCCTTGTATCTGTAAAGAGCAGTGCAATTAGGACATACAATGTACTTTAGAAAGTCATCCGTGTCAAACTCAACCAACTTATGGAACCTGTAAATAGAATATGGAAATGCATTATAAATAACCTGAAACAGCTTGCTGCATTTTCCTGCAAAATAAAATATGGGTGAATTCAAAAAAAATGACCACCAAACTGATTTTTTTTGGTAAAATTCAACTACTTATAACATATTTTTCACTTATATCATCATATTGCAAATGCATTCTAGTTTAAAATCCTGAAGTGGCAATAGAATAGACAATTGGATTAAAAAGTTTCAGAATTTTTATTGTAAAATTTCTTTTGAAAAAAGAAAATATCATTACACCTTAAAAGACTTTCTAAAATACATAATCACAAGAAATTATAGTTTTTTATGCTTCAAAATGGTAAAAGGGGTATAAATGATTAAATCTAGACCTTGAATGAGTATCTTCTCTTGTACATGTGACAAAAAATTGGCTTTTTGATTGTTATTTTACATTATTTTTTCAATTCTGGTTTGAAAAGTTTTAATATGAAAAAAATATGAAGTAATAAAATTCCCCAAAATTCACTTTTTTGTCCGTTCAAGTCAATTCTTTAAATCTAAGCCAAAAAAGAATTGTTATATACGAGTTCTCTTACGAAAAATACTAGATTTTGAAGTGACCCCATGTTCTGTACATTATTGTGTTGCACTCCTGACATCTGATATGTATTTTATTTAACATTGTTTTAAAAATTATAACACACAATAACCCATTCTTACTTTGTAAATCAATTTGTCGTGTTGATATTTTTCATCGTTTACAGGAGGTCTTTCATATTTTGAAGACCTTAAAACATGATTATTTGCAAAGTGTAATATATATAAATTGTATTTAAAATATATGTGAAATGATGAAAACTATTCCCTGAATTGACTGTAAAATTTCTGTAATTTGTTGATAGACATAGTGTTTTGAACATCAAATAGTATCAAGCATTTTTTTTTCAACTTAATTTTTAGTAAAGATAGTTAAAAAGCATCGGTAATTATGAAGCAGTTTTGTTGCACTCCTGACTGCAGTAAAGTTTAAAATTAAAACCATAGAACACAAAAATTCATAAAGTGTTGGCAACATCAAGTGGTAATGAAATTGTGCAATACTTATAGCCCAATACTTCATAATTAAAACAGATGAAAGTATTTAAAATTCGCATTTTATCTGGAATTATACCCTATTTTATGCCAAAAAACTAGCTTAAATGTATATTTAGAAGATAAAATATATTTTAAAGCATATTTTCCTTTAGAAGACAAACACAGTAACCCACCAGAAAAATTCTACTCATCATTTTTTCTTTATTTTTATTCTTATTGGACGATTTATAATTTAACATATTTGTTGCACTCCTGACCAAAAGCATTGGGGCCTTTAAAGTAGAATTGTGAAGTGAAAATTACATAAGAACTTGTTCTGTTGTTTCAGTGAAGTTGAGGAGGAATTACTCGAATTTTATGACAATGTTTTAGTGTGTTTATGTTTAACGTTCATTAAAAAAATCACAAAAAAGATAAAAACACATCTGAATTGATAAAATTAAAAAAGGAAGGATTTTAATAATAAAACTGTCAATAATTTAGCATTAAATTATACAAAAAGATCATTATTAATTAATGAATACTTCTAAGCATGAATAGAAGTCTTTTCGTCACACAACTTGAATCTTTAAAAAAATGTGTTGCACTCCTGACCATAGAAATGAGGATCTGAAGCACAGACAGATCCTGTAATTGATAAATCTATTTGGTAAAAATGTTCTTTGTGTCTTTATTTTCCAAAATAAAAATCAGAAAATCATATAATGATAATAGTTTTTTCATGCTTGGGAGCAAAACATCAAATGTTGCACTCCTGACATTTTTGGGTATGCACATATACTTGACTCTCATTAATGCTGCCTGTGATTTATATAACATTTTTAAGTTTTAAAATGTATATCAGTTATTATTTTACACTTCCAAAATTCTGTTTTGTCTTAATTGTATATCAGAATTTTACAATTGATGTTTTTTTTGGCAACACTACATTTTTTCTGTTGCACTCCTGACATGGTATAACATTTTTTTAAACATCAGCCATGACCACAACCTGATTAAACAAAAGTTTTGACAGTCCACATTTAAAGCTCAATACTTTGAATATTATCAGGAAAGTCTTTATTTTCAACATGAAGCATTATTTTTTATTTCACAGATCTCCAAAAAATATTGAAATTTCAAAATGTCACAAAAAGGTGTTGCACTCCTGACAATTTTAGCATCATTTTTGGGCATAACTTTTTTGTTAATTGAGATATCGACGAGATATTTGGCAGGTATTTAGACACTATCTAAAGACATATGCTGAGACATAGAAATCTATTTTCATTGCCTGTATTTTTAGTGTGGGATGATAAATATGCGTTTGGTCATTTTTTTTGAATTCACCCATATCTGATTGAGAAGCTGAAGCAGTTTTATAATACAAGCATTGCTTAACAGGAACTTGTTTTGGATATGCAGAAGAGAATACAAAATCCATAACACAAACTGATGTGCCCTACTCCTTTTTTCCTGTCCATGTCTTTCATCCCTGTTGGTAATGTCCCGAATAATATCATCATCTGTTTCATCCCAGTGTTGAGCTACCTGACCATCATCATCTTGTTCTGAATTGTCTGACTCAACTTCTGACTCATCACAGATTGTATTGGTTTCATCCTGAAAATAATGAACAGACCTCTTTTGTACTGCATATTTAAGAAATCTTAATAAAAATTATTAATGTGCAATAAAGTGTACTAGTACACCAGTTATAAAGTTATTTTAAAAAATTGCAAATATTTTTTTCAATGAAGTTATTTTTTATAATCAGTATATAAGTCATATTAATACCATGACTTCTGGTGTTTGCCTTGGTGTTTCCATGTCAATCAACTCCCTGTCTGTAGTGACACCTTCATCTATAGGTACATGTAAATGCGTAGGACCTGTGGGTATAATTTTTAATATCAGCAAATATTATATGATATTATTTTTTTATCATGATGCTTAAAACACACTATAAACAGAGGTTTGGTGAGTATAAGAGGGGATCCCTTAACACGTTTGGATATCATATTAAATTTTCCTAAAGAATGAAAAATATAATATATATATGAATCTATATGATCTTAGAATAAACATGTATAATAATCAACAATGATAATTAGTAAATTGAAGCCCAATCTAAATCTGTATTAGTATAGACAAGATTAAAATTACATACGGATATAAATATAAATAGACATAAAACAGTTAAGTTGTCAAAAACTTCCTCCTTTGCTCCCATGCAATATACAAACAGCTATTTAATATCGTAATGCCACCTAACCTCAACCCCACACACTAGATCTATCAGTAACACTGGTGTTCTATTGAATGAAATGAAACTTACGAGGACTGAGTGATGGCACCTGAAGCACATGACGCCAGCCTCGTCTCCTTGGATTGCCAAACAACTGACGATGCCTCAGAACTGTTCTGCTTGACAAAAACTTATTGCAGTGTGGACAAAGTTGAACTTTTTTGGATATTGGAGAAGCCATCTTGACACCTAAATTCAAAACAAAAACGTTTAGTTCATATGTATCCGGTAGACTTGCGGAGTTTGGGATCCAAGATCCCCCTATGATTTTCGGCCTAACAGCAGGCGCGGATCCAGGAATTTTTCCCAGGGAGACCATCCCAGTCAAAAAAAAAAAATGCCCAACCCAAACGTTTCTTGACAAGCAAAACAAACAAACAAACAAACAAACAGAAAAAAACCCCCCGTAAAATCCATTTCCCACACGTGAAAAACTCCGTGGTGGTGATGGTGGTGATGGTGGGATCCACCACTGGGTGAAATAAGCAGTTTCCCATCATGGGAAACTATACGGAAACCACATGGAAACCTCAAGTTTACATCATGTTTCCCAGTGGTTTCCGCAGCGGATGCCAGGTTATTCCGTCAAGTTTCCGTGGCACGGAAACTACTACGCTCCGATTCCATTAGGTATCCCGAATCACGGAAACCTCGGGAAACCTGAAGTTTCCCAAGCCTCCATGTAGTTTCCCGTAATGGGAAACCTGAAGATTCCACTGGTTTCCATAATTAGGAAACTACGTGGAATCGGAGCGTAGTGGTTTCCATGGAATTGGGAAACTGGATGGAATCCTCAGGTTTCCCATGAACGGAAACTAGAGGAAACCTCATGATTCCTCAAGTTTCCATGACTCGGGAAACTACATGGAATTGGAGCGTAGCGGTTTCCATGTTATGGAAACTTGGTGGAATTATCTGGTGTCCTATAAAAGGAAATTACAGGGAAACTTCAAGATTCCCTTCTTCTTCTGACATGGGAAGCAATGTGGAATTGTTGTGTAATAGTTTCCATACCATGGAAACTACAGGGTAGGTTGAGCATTTCAATTTTGGGAAATGATTGACAGGCAACTGGAAGCTCAAGAATCCCTGTATTTTCCATGGTAAATCTTTCTTTTCTAGAATGTGAAAAGAGAACAGCAGTTTTAAATCAAAATATATATTATTAATTTCCTTGGTAAACTGTGTTTTCTTTTCAAAATCTATTAAAAGATGTATAAAGAAAAAACAGCATTATCAAATCATATGTTTAATAATTCATTTGACGTACAAAAACATTATTTTAAAATTATATCAAAATAATTAAAATCATATATCTTAGGTAAACAATGTAGTAGTCTTTCACATCTACGTCCATTCATAAACTTGATTAAATACTCAGTACTTCTTTCAACATCAGCTTCCCTTGTATTTTCTTCACATCATCTGCGATCTGCAATATATTTTTAATAAAAAATTATTTTTTGTAAGAATTGTATGCTTGAATATTATTTAGAAATCTGACAAGATCACTCAATGTCCTTTAATGTACTAATATTAGTGATTAGTTTTAGTCTTTAAATTTAATGACCATGAAATCAGAATAATGAACATTACATAGTACATGTAATGTTTTAAGCCAGATAAATATCAAAGCAGGTATGATTGAGAATATGACCATCTCATAGAACACTGCATTTAGTTGAGTCAATTGGAGAGAAATGTGTTCTGGACAAGGATATTACAAATCTTTTTTTTTCTTATTAATTGACATTAGACCTAGAAAATTGGTTAAAGATCACTACACACCCTTCATCCCATGGCACACAATCCAGATCATACCAAGGGAAGAAAATTATGCTCTGGACAAGATATATTGTGTATTTTGATACTGACCTTTGACCTAGATAATTAGTCCAAGGTCCACCCACAGGCACTCTACGAGTTAAATTTGAGTGAGATTGGGCTATGAGGAGAGAAAATATACTCAGGATAAGTGATATCAGATGGACAGACAGATCATCTCATGGCATCCACTGAACAGGACCCTAAAAAAATCAATGCATATATATGTAAAGTTATATCCATATAAGTCAATATGAATTCATCATATGTTGCATTGCATACACATGCTTTAATCATGTTTAATACCTTATGAATAATTTCAAATTGCATGTACACTCAGTTTACATACAAATAATCTAAATTTCATCAAAGACGACCAACATAACAGCCATTCAAGATTTAGTTAATCAACATTCAGTACAAGTTCTATATGCTATACCATATGTACAGACACATACTAGTATTATTTACCTGCATTCTAAATCTTGTTTTATGTCACTGAAAATTAAGGCGATAGCCATTAACCAATTTTAGCCCCAATTTACATACATGCATGTTGTAATGTTTGTTCAAGACTTAACATTTATAAATATTATCTTATAGTATATTTAGTTAACATATACCTACATTTAAAGCTTCAATGTGTTTCTCTGAATATTTTAGAAATTACAGTCATCAAAATACTGACCAGCCAGAAATCAGTAAATGTGTATGTCCTTAATTTTCATTCTTGTATTGTTTCATTTAACATGTTTCAATGTTAAAGTGTTTTAGTAAGTTATAATATTTACTACTTTATCATAGCCATACAGTTGAACTTTGGCATCTCGAACACAGACACCTCGAGTACCATAGATACATGTATGTTGAAGTAATTTGGAAGTATTCTTTAAGCATTTTACTCCTGATATCTTGAATCCTCAAACATCTCAAAATATTTTCAATGATTGAATTGAACCATGGCAAAAGGACTCTTAAACAAATATTCATTATTCTTAAAATAAAGTCTACAGGTTACAAAATTAAAAGTTGCTCAACAATGATCATATCAATTATATTTAAGAGAGTTGATCATTTCCCCTTGGGGTGAAGGGGGGAGGGGGGCTTCGTCTGTACAATTCAGAATATCCTTACTTTGTGTCAACCTTGGTTAAAATTAGTGGTTCTTGGGAAGAAGTTAAAGATGTGAAAAGCTCACAGATGGATAGACAGTTTGATGGACAAAACACAAAACAAAAGGTGATCAGAAAAGTTCACATGAGTTTTTAGCTCGAATGAACTAAATTCCTCACTGCATGGTGTATATCATGCAAGATATCATCCAGACAGAAAATTTTATAGAAGAGTGAAAAAGAAGACTCCAAGCCATAATTTTAGATAACCTCTTGTAGTTTGCAATTGGTATTTCAACATTCCAATTAAACTCAAGTTCTTTTCTTTTCATGCAATTGTTATACATGCCTATTTATGATTGAATTAATTACCACTTACCACATGATCACATCTTGATTCATCATACATCTTGCTGTTCTCCTTTAATGTCACTTCTTCTCTCTGAAAGAATATATTATGTACAATTACTATTGCATTCTGATTTCACCTATAAGACCAACAATAAACAGTGTCCCAGGGGCCACATTGCTCACCTAAGCACTTTCTTTGGGTAGGAAAAAATATAAATCAGTTCAGTATTGAAAAGTTTAAATATAAAAGTGGTTTGGTTTGGAAGGGGGGGGGGGGGATTCTACACTTTCTAAGGATGCTTTTGAATTAATATCACACATATTAGCATTGCTGTTCTTAAGAAGAAAATCCTTTTTATTCCTTTGTATAACTATAATCCCCTGTTATGGCCCCTCTATTCTCCTGGGGGGGGGGGGGGTTCATGATTTAAATATATCTACATTACTTCATTGCCCATGTATATAAATATGACCAATCATGGCTTTGTTGTTCTTGAAAAGAAGAATTTCTAAGATTTTCCCTATGTACTTTGATCGTTCATTGTGGCCCTGTCCTACCCTGGAGGTCATGATTTGAACAAACTTGAATTTATACTAGCTGAGGATGTTTCAACATAAGTGTCATCTTTCCTGATACAGTGGTTCTAGTGAAGAAGATTTTAAAAGATTTTTTCCTATGTATTCCTATGTAAAATTGATCATCCATTATGGCCCCGCCCTACACTGGGGGTCATGATTTGAACAAATTTGAATTTACACTACCCGAGGATGCTTCCAAATAAGTTGGAATCTTTCATTGCCCTGTGGTTCCAGAAAAGAAGATTTTTAAATGATGCCATTAATTTTTCATTTATTTGTAATTATTTCCCTTTAGAAGAAGATATGGCCCTTTATTTAAACAAACTTGAATCCCCTTTACCCAAGGATACTTTATAGCAAGTTTGGTTGAAATTGGCCCAGTGGTTCTTGAGAAGATTGAAATGTGAAAAAATTACGAAAACCACGGCAACAGACAAATTTCGATCAGAAAAGTTAACTTGAACCTTTGGCTCAGTGTGCTAAAAATGATTTGTTTGATGTACTCCGAATAACCCATCAAAATCACCCCTACCCAATCATTTTTTTAAGTATTGAAATTTTATTTCAATTTTTTTTTTTTTTTTTGGTTTCATTGAAATAAATTTTGTTTCATTATAAAGTTGAGGTTTATAATTTCTCCAAAAATTTTGTTTTATGGAGAAA